ATTTTCCTTTGCATCATCAAGCTCCAGGTAGCTACTTTGAAACTTTGTAAGGCTGTTTACTAAAATCTGTTTAGGCTGCTTAAGTAAGCAGTAAGTTTTAGCAATAGAGGAACACACTGCAAAGAACCACCCTGCAGTAAGTTTTAGCAATAGAGGAACACACCATGATGCACTATGGCATTCACACTGTCATGGTATGCGTGCAAATGGATGCCCAAAGTTCAGCATTTCTAAAAGATCTTAAGAGATTTCTAAAGGAAAAGCATTTAGACATCAAAAGTCCACAAAAAAAAGTGTGGCTGAATTAAATTCTAGGGGGACTCATCAATTTGAAATAACTGAGGTAATAAAGCTTATTAACTGATCACAGATAATGAGCCACTCCCCACACACTACAATGGTACAATGAAAATGGTAAGTGTATCACACAAAGCTGTTGTCAGGCCTTATCCTGAATACTGGACACCATTTCTAGTCATTTATATTCAAGAAAGATGAAGTGAAAAAGAAATATACCCAGGGCCACCCAAAAAGGATAATCAAGGCAATGAAAACCTCTCTTCAAAGGAGATGGAAAGATTTGGTGGTTTCAGTTTAGAGGAGAAAACATGATTGCTCTCAACAGTAGGGCAAATACCAAAGGCAGGGAATGAGGATTTCTGAAGATAATCACACTGGCAGAAGAACAAAGAGGTATAGCTCTTTGGCTATAGGAAAGGAATAAATTTGGGCTGGATGCAGAAAAAAACTTCCAAGCATTAGAGAAATTACATTCTGACCAACATTGTAATTAAAGATAGAGCATGGTGCTAAACAATCTTTCTTTTAAAACAGTAATTAATAAGTTGAAGAACATAATTACCTAAACCATTTGCTGTGACAGCAGTGTTCCCTCCAGCTGTATCCTGAGGGTTCAGCAGGTGCAATTGACTCTGTCTTTGATTAGAAAATGAACAGAGGTCCACCTAAAAGCAGGGAGTACCTTCCTGATTCGAAGGCTTTGCACTTCATTAAAAAATCTGCAAAGACATCCAAAAACATCTATTTCAGTCATAGACAAAGGGAATAGTGAAGCAACTTGACAGTCAGCCATTGCAACAGAAAAATCACACACAAGACAACAATTTTGCAAGCTACCATTTTCTTGAACTTGATAAGAACTAGAAGCAATTTTAAAAGAACAAATGCTAATTGTCAACCTGAATTTCAGTTTATATATGTTCTTTGAGAAGATTGGTCAGAATACAACCAGATAAATACCATTCACTATGGAAAGACTCATTCATGTAATTTTGAAAAATTGACCCCTCAACAGGAAAAAAACCTAAGCTCAAACAGTTCTCCAATAATGTATTGATAGTGATGTTCATCTCACAACACATACATTAGGATTTTCATATTTTTATCAGGCAGTAAACTTCAATAGTTCAATCAGCAAGCTAATTCTCCATTTGACATCCATTGATACTACTTCAATCTGTGACTATTATGCATTTACTGGCAAACCTCACGATGGCAATAGCTTTTTAAACTGCAGTTGAAATTAAAACCTGATTTTTCTGTTCTTAAGGCAATAGTGCCATCTCGTGGGAAATATTCAGCTTTGTGTCTTATGGTGGGCAAAGGAGCCCAGAGGCTTTTTTAGACAAACAATTCCTCAATAAAATGAGACGTAATTTTTTTTTTCCCCTAAGTTGGTTCCCTCAGGTTAATACATAAAATTTCATCTAAAATGCCCACTAGCGCTTTCTAGTCACTCTGGTAAGGTTTCATAAGGTTTTTGCTCTGCTCCAAGGTGTTCTACAAACCACAGCCCCTGTCTGGGTACGTGACAAGGGAGCACAAGTCCTGCATCCTGCCAGGAGGGTCCCATGGGCAGGAGGGAGAGCACCCAGCCCATGTGCAAGTAGTGCTACCCTGCATTGTCCAGCAAGACCAGCCTTGCTGACCAAGTCCAAACTGTGAGTCCTCGGCTCTACTGCATGTGGTACACACACAGGCAATGGCCAGTCACATCTTAACCCTGCTTCTGCTGGCAATATTTTTGGACTCTTTTATCCTCTCCTTTTAATGGCTTATTCGCTCTGTTTCTGCAGAGTCAAACAAAAACATCTCACAAGCTAGAAAGCACCAGACACCTTTTTACATTTAAAATGCTGTCTGTCCTGCAGAGTGTAAACAATGAGGATACATCTGGTTTTTCCACAAGCAGTGGTCTTCTTTATTTCCTTTTTAATAATGGGGATTATGCTTGCCCTTTTCCAGTCTATGTGAACTTCATGGGACTGCCATGACTTCTCAAACATGATGGATAGTGGCTTAGTCACTTCCTTAGCCAGTTTCTATGGATGTTACTCACCAGATGTCAGGGACTTGTGCACCTTCAGGTTCCTGAGATGTTCCCAAACTCATTCTCCTCCTACAGCAGACAGTTCTTTGTGGAATCTAAGATCTTTACCTCAGATGCTTTTACAGAGGGTTTTGACCTCAGACCATGGTAGGCAGTATACTGAGGGGGGACACCTAGTCAGGTCACAGTGGAATGGTAGTAGTATGTAATAGAACCTTCCTGTATTTGGTCAAGTTTCCAGTTTTCCTTCTCTGTTGGTTCAGGATTTTTTTCTTATAAGGTCATGTTCTGAGTTCACCTTCCTGATTGGACCTGTGCCCCTATACCTGGTTGCATTTGCCTCACCCAAGGGGTCTTTGGAATCTAGCCTCTGTACCCTGTGCCACGGTTGTTATTTTCATTATTAAAGTTTTTATTTTCTGGGCTATTCCATCATTCTTCTTTATTAGCCAGCTCCTCTCAGATAAGCCAAGTGGGGGGATCACAGTGGGCTTCTAAGCCCATAGTTCTTCATTCTCCAAATCCTTGATTTCACCTTCTACAACTTTGGCAATGTGGCTGGAGCACTTGCTGGTGGAGACTGAGGCAAAAAAGTCACTGAATACCTCAGTCTTCTCCATGTCCTGGGTAACTAGGTCTCCTGTATTCTTCCTGAGAGGACTCACATTTTTCCCTAGTCTCTTTTATTGCTGATGTACCTGAAGGCACTTATTTGTTAGCTATGATGCCCTTGGCAAATTTACTTTTGCTGGTGCTTTTGCTTTCCTAAACAGGCTACTTTCCCTGTTTCCACCCTCTGTAAGCTACCTGTTTAAGTTTGTAGCATGGAGCTCCTTGTTCATCCATGCAGGTATCAGGGTGTTCTTCCCTGATTTCATCTTTGTAGAAATACATTGCTTTTCACCCCGGAGAGACAGTCCTTGAATATCATGTAGCTCTCTTGGGCTCCTCTACCCTCCAGGGCTCTATGCCACAGCACTCTATCAAGGACATCCTTGAAGAAACCAGTCTGCTTTCCTGAAGCACAGGGTAGCAAGCTTGCTTCTCACTCTTCTCATTGACTCAAAGATCTCAAACTATACCACTTTGTGGTCACTGCAGCTCAGGCTGCCCCTGAGCTTCACATTCCCCATCAGCTGCTCCTTGTTGGCGAGAATGAGGTCCAGCATACACCTCCCCTCACCGGTTTCTCCGTCACTTAGAGAAGGAAATTACTATCAGTGCACTTCTGGAACCTCCTGAACTGCCTGAGCCCTGTTGTGTTGTCCCTCCAACAGGTATAAGGGTGGTTGAAGCCCCTCATGAGGACCAGGGCTTGCAAACATGAGGCTGCTCCTACCTGTCTGTAGTGGGCCTCATTGACTCGGTCTTTCTGGCCAGGTGGCCTGTAGCAGTTCCCCACTAACAATGACACCTGTTCCTGCCCTCCCTTTAATCCTTACCCAGTCAGCTCCTCCACGCCCAGGCCGATCTCCATGCACTCCAGCTGGTCAACAGAGAGGGCAATAACATTCATCTCGCATGCCTTTCCCTCATAAAGTGGCTTTGCCCTTCCATTCCAGCCCTCCAGACACAGGAACCATCCCACCACTTCTCAGGACGCCAATATGGTCCATAGCCCTGCTCTCTAGTTTCTCCTGTTTACTTCCCATCCTACCTGCTTTCTTTAGAATAGAGGATTTAAGCTGGGCCCCTGGTGAAGCTCTCTGCCTGCAATGGCTGGAGGTCCTTGGTGCTATTCCTTTGGGTGTTCTCCACCGACCTGCACACCCTCTCCAGGCTCTGGTCATCTCTTTCTGGCTCAGAGAGCCAACTGGTATGAGTGGGACGGCATGTCATCCCACATCTTACCACTGTTAGATCTCTTCAGGTCTCTCCCATTTTTACACTTAAAGTGCAATAAATGCCCACAGTAAGAGATAACTGGACAGGATTTTTTCACTGTATTCATAACAATTACTGATCTATCCATACAGTATGAAAGCCCATTAAGTGTGACACTGAAGAGGCCTCAATCAAATATTGCAAGCCTACAAATACTCAGTGGCACACTTTCAAAATACTTCTAGTATCAAACTACAAATTTTTATTATAATAATTTCTAACTCAGGATGTATTTAAACAAGGACTATTACTGCCTTGCTAAAGGACAAATGAGCATTCTTCCATAAATGCCAATAAAGCCCTGGGATTGCTGGACTATTGACAGTTTATGACTGCTCTGTGCAACTTCTGCATTGTAGTTAGAAAATTCAGTTTATCACAAGGATATATTAAAAGGCTGCTGTGGGAGACTGCCACATCCTATGATTGTCGCGTTTTCTAAAACTGTAAATAAGAACCAATGAATTACATTGTTTTCAACTAACAGCTAACCTCAACATTCTGCAACATTCACCACTTAGGTTATATTAAACATCCTATCAAGCTAAACTGCATCATTTGGAATCTGGGGGAAGCAAACATTCTAGATGCAAAAATTCTATCTCCACCTGCAAGATTTCATAATTCCTGAGAGCTTTGCAAATTTTGCCAGATGATCCTGTACTGCATGCACTTTTTTTTAAACCAAAAGAGTTTCGTTTCTAAAATTACAAATAAGCCTTCTATAGTTCTAAAAAACACACTGAACACAAATTCCATTTGGAGTGACAATTGCCATTCATTGAGAGATTTGAGGCATTTCTGAGGAGAAATGGCACCAGCAAAGTCGATGAATCCAGTTGTATTGCACTGCAGGAAGATGTTGAGTTAGCAGCGTCCTATGGAAGAAAAAGGTACATTTCAGTGCTACTGTATTTTCTAAATCTCTAAATTGGGTTGGCTTCAAGATAGGCACACATTCATATTGCCTGAAATCCCTCACTTCACTGTCACCACTTAGCTATCTCTTTGGAATTTGAAAGGCAGGAAAGCAAGACAGCAGATTTGCAGTAGCTTGTGTCTCTTGTGTAAGGAAGCATGTTTTACTTACTACAGCACTGGCCACAGTGAAGGCAACCAGCAGAGAGAAACCATGACAATGGTCCAAATAGAGTGAAAAAACAAGCTTTCCTCCAAGTAAGAAATCTCAGCCTTTTTCCATGCATAAAAAAAGGCCTACCCAATTTAAGACTTCAGCAAGTATTTCAGAATCAGAGACATTCAACATGTTATTTTGTTCTTTTGTCTGATCATTCAAGGGCTTAATGTGAAAACCATGAGTCACTAGGAACCAATATGCCCACTTACTTTTGACCCTCACTGTTGAAAGACTGCGGCTTCGAGCCACCTGCAAGACAAAGAAATGGAAAATCAGGTGTGCTAAAGAACTGTAACCAAAAAAGCCACCTGGGGACCCATCAACATTCAGAAAATCTGCATATTTATCAGTGCAGCTCTACTGTTACTAAGTCAAGTTCAACAGCTTTCTAGTTTTTTTCCACAGTCTGCACACACAAAAAAAAAGGGAGTCCTACCAAAAGCCTCTCACATTTTCAATATTCACATTTTAAGTTGACGGCACCTATGGCATTTAATAAGATGGGCTAACAATTAGAAAAATGTACACATATTTAACAGAAATAATTTAAAACATTTTGTAACCATACAATATGCAGAACTCCACTGAAGTTTCATATATCTTACTTGTACCACCTTCCCTTCCTGCTCACCTTACATTTATTTTTTGCCCTGTTGATGCATTTTGTAAATTAGGAGTAAATTTAGGTTACTAATTCCAGGAGGCAGAACTATGTGTTGTATATGTACTCCAAAATGACTGAAACACTTCCAGATGATGCAATTATTTACTCAGAAGGGCACTAAAGCAATGGGAGTAGGGGCAAAGCACTCCAAGATACACAGTTGATACTTCTGAGAATTTAACTATGATCTACTTCTCATACAGTACCTCCACTCATCATTATACCAGGCATTAACTACCTGTCAGTTCAGCTTCACTTCATTTGAGACCATCAAGCAAAGGCACTTATTTCCAGTGTTAAAATGTACATGTGGCACATCAGCATTTTTAACAGGTTGCCTACATTCCTAGTTAAAATACTTGATGCTGTTAACACTATAAACATTCAACTGAGGCTTACTGGACCACACAGCAGAGGACGGCCACAGCTGCAGCTTCTGCTCCTAATTCTGCATCTGCGAGGACACTACAAGAGAAAAGTTTGACAAACCTCTTCTCAGAGAGTTTTAATAAAGACAGACTCTGCAAGCCATGACAGACTTGCCATGCTGGAGACAAGGTTTGAGGACAGAGAGGAAACACAGTAAGCTTTCCCTTTAGAACAGGCTCTGACAACAGCCATATATCTGCATAATTAATATATTAAGGAAAATAGAACTATTCATCCTATATACAGGATGAGACACTAAAACCTAATTGATATTTGATATACTACTCCATCCATCTAGGGAACAGTTAAAAACTTGTCTTCTTAAATTTTAAAAACTGTGTTGAAATCTACTGACTTCCCTTCCCTCAATATTTCTTGAACAAAATACGTACCATAACCATTTTTTTAGTGACTACCTCTCCCTTCACAATTACAGTACCATCTTCTATCAGAGCAGGCCAGACGTGATAGGCCACAAAGGGAGCTGTGAAATCTGAGTCAAAGCTACGATAGTACCTGTTGAAACAAACAGTGCAAGAAATGTCTGCATATAAGTGCCAAAAGACAAATATGTTCCAAATCATCAATGTTGATAAAAAGTAGCTACAGCTCTAATATCTATCCACATAACAAAAGTATGTATTCTTTATGTGGTCCTGTAAAAGAAATGGACTTGGAAGACAGACTTAGCAGAATATACTGTTTACTTATACTGCTAGACATTCTAATAAAGCCATTTCACACTTCAGAAGGCCACTAGACCTTAATTTTTGCATAAGCCCCACACAAGCCAGGGCCTCTATGTCCACTGACAGATTAAACCTTCTGAGCAGCAATTTGGCAGACACAGTCATCCCCTCTTTCTGGAATATCTTGCTAGAGCAAGCCCCCTATAAGGATAAATAACACATCTGGCTTTATGGATTCAAACTCAGAACAAATACCAAATAACAGAAATTGTATTAAAAGCAATGCATTTATACTTTAGTAATGTATTACAATAGCAAATTATATAAAACAATGTCATAACCAGAGGCACAAAGCAAGGCATAGGGAACAACGATGTTTGGCTGGCTCTTTGTAGAATGCTATCACATGTAATAAACAGAGATATTTTAATTTCTACAATTTTAATTCACCCCATCTGTGTGTACCACATATACATGCCATACATGTAAACATATACATATGCCACATTTATCTAGCTAGATAGACACATGTATGTGTCTCCCACAGCAGCACAATAAAACATATTACATGTGGTTTCTTAAGGCCATACAAACCAAGTAGGTGGAGAAAGCATCTCAAGACTACACCACAGTGTTGGTGCTTCTTAATTTAGCCAATAGCTTTGAGTGTCAAAAGCTAACTGTCCTGTACTTGGATAGCATTATTGAGTAGTCCTGAATGATTTTGTACTCTCCTGTTGAGAGTCTACTTTCATCTTCTCTACTTCTCTCCTTGACTTCTCAAGCCCTTTGCGACCTGGGTTCCATTCTATTCTGAATTATTTCTAGAAATCTCCTTAGTGATGTAAGGTGTTTTGCTTTTTAGAGTAATTTTTAATGACCTATCAATCCCATTAATTTTCTAGACAACATGGAAGCACCCTACAGCTCTCTGTCTGCTAAAAAAGCAGCTTGACCCTACAGAAAAAAGAAAAATTATTAACAAAATTCCCATTTTTAAGAGGCCATTTTAGTTTTGCCCAGCTCTAAACCAGAAGAGATGGGAGCATATTAATACTTGTATGTTGTACAGCAGCCACAGCCTGAGGTTGCAGCAAACATGCTGATGATCCTGGTAATGACACCAACTGCCAGATCTCAGTAAACATGACTTTTACAGAACAGGCCAGTAAGGAGGAAGAAAGATTCAAACATTTTTAAAAAGGCAGATAGAGACTAAGCAGGGAAAGCTGATGATCATTTTCTTCTTAAATGATAAATTTCATATGCTCTTGAGACTGAAGTTTATCCAGAAAATTGCTCTGCTGTTCAATTAAAAAAAAAATTTTAATGCTTATGTACATGCTAGTATTTACACACTATCCTAAGCCTTAAAGACATACCAAATTCACAATCTTGAACTGCTATATTAATTAGGAAACAAGTAGACTACAAAACCTTTAATGGTAAGTCTGACTGAATATAAAGATTTCTCACATGTTCCTGTTGAAGCATTCTCCATCAACACCAAAGGAAATATCAAGAGGAGGAATGAGTGTCTGCATTGAAAAAGCCAAACAGCACAACTCTCGAATCAAATTGCTGATGACAACGAAATCAACTTCTCCTGGACATGGAAGCTTTGGGTTCTTGTTCAAGGAGCAAACTACCTCCTGAAAATAAACATACATGAGTAATTTGCACTCACCAACAAGTTTTTTTCACGAGCAAGTATAGAAATCCCCCCTAAATATGCCTCTCAGCTTTCTACATTTAAAAATCAGTATGAAAAGCTTATAGTAATGTTGCCCTGGACTATTCCAGAAAACAACAGCTCCAGAAAGAATGTGCTGCTATAAACAAACCAAACTAGCTATTATTAAGTCATACATATACTAGTCCTAGCAATATTGTTCTAGAAAGTAAACTGCTACAAAAGTCCATACAGTAACTCTTTTCTCCTTCAGGTTACAGTGCATTTCTAATTTACATATTCTGAATTTACTAGCTCCTGAAACAGATCATCACATCACTTCCCCACTGCCCTTGACTTACATGGACACTGCAACAAACGTCATACAGATCCTTGTGGCAAGCTATATAATCCAGGACAGCAACTTCAAAAGCTGTAGGTGCCCCTCTGTAACATACAGTCAAAGTGTCTTTCACATTTATTTTGACCTTCCAGAAGGCCATCTTTGCCGCACGGAAAGATTCCTGCAAACATAAAGAACATCTAGTTAAATACAAGAGGCCCAGTTTAATTTTTTATCAGTTATCTGAGAAAATGAATTTAACCCACTATCATCAAAATAAGGAGGAATATAATATACTGTGTAAAGAAGAAAATTAACTCAGGAGAAAGGAATTCTTTGAGTGTAATTTATTTGCAGAAGATTGAAAAGCTTCCCTCCTAATCTTCTATATTTGCACAGGATTCCATCACATACCCATGATCAATGCAGTCACATCCAAAGATATGAGTAACAGCATTTTATGTGCCACAGCATAACATGTAAGACAGGAACACCTCCTTTGTTGGGAAAAGAGGTTGAATTGGAGAGTGTAAACTGAATGACAGTTGAAAGAAAAAATCTTCAGTAAGCAAAATGTCTTGGGATCACACACTTTAAGAGATTCTGCCTCTCTAATACAGGTATGTGTTAAACCATTTTTATAGAAAAGAAGATTCAATACAGAAAAAACGAAGACTTTCTTCAAACTGAGTTAATGGTAAATGTGGGATATCTACATGGTTTCAAGGGACCCAATTAATCTAAAAAAACACATAGCTACAAGCATAAGGAAAGCATGATATGGAAAGATTTTGAGCTTTGTAGTGTTGCAGTATTTAATGCAGCATTCCCGAAAGAATTTTTCTAACTAAGGCAATGTTGATCACTGCAGATACCATGTACTTTTCAGACCAGATAATTTGACCAATTTCAGACCAAATTTCACTCTTTTAGTACCTGTATAATAAATCATTGACCCTTTCCAATCTTGGGACAGGTCAGGCAGGACACTACATTGAGAATTCAATGTAGATGTGTGGGGGGAAGAAAGAAAAATCAAAATAAAAAAGGAAAGCTTTTCTTCTCTGCACTTGACAGAAATGCTATTTTACCTACAACTTAAACCAATGCAGACATAGTATTTTACAACACACCCCCTGTAAAAGCAGAAACAATTATTTCTTTCTCACCACAGCTGCAACATATATTATCCTCTGCACCGTCTCCAAGTCACAGAAGTATCGCCTCAAAGCGGCCTCTGCCTCCAAGCGTTCTTTAGCATAAATGAAGTTATAGCGAGCTATGAGGCAGGCGCGGTGTGAAGCGCTGCCCCGCCTGATCCGGGGAGGTGAACAGGGCCTCACGCAAAGGGCGCGGCACTTGGAAGGACGGACACAGGGCTTAACACAGGGCCTGACACAGGGCCTCACACGGCATGGTGGAGGAGAGACACAGGGCCTGACACAGGGCCTGACACAGGGCCGGACACAGGGCCTCACACAGGGCCGGACACCGCACAGTGGAGGAGAGCAGGCCCTCAAAGCGCATGGTGGAGAGCAGGCCCTCAGACGACATGGTGGAGAGCAGGCCCTCAGACGGCACGGTAGAGGAGAGCAGGCTCTCGGACGGCATGGTGGAGAGCAGGCCCTCAGACGGCACGGTAGAGGAGAGCAGGCTCTCGGACGGCATGGTGGAGAGCAGGCCCTCAGACGGCACGGTAGAGGAGAGCAGGCTCTTGGACGGCATGGAGGAGAGCAGGCCCTCAGACGGCATGGTAGAGGAGAGCAGGCTCTTGGACGGCACGGTAGAGGAGAGCAGGCCCTCAGACGGCACGGTAGAGGAGAGCAGGCCCTCGGACGGCATGGAGGAGAGCAGGCCCTCAGACGGCACGGTAGAGGAGAGCAGGCCCTCGGACGGCATGGAGGAGAGCAGGCCCTGAGACGGCATGGTAGAGGAGAGCAGGCCCTCGGACGGCAAGGTGGAGGAGAGCAGGCCCTCACAGGGCATGGTGGAGGAGAGATACAGGGCCTCAGACTGCACGGTAGAGGAGAGCAGGCCCTTGGACGGCACGGTGGAGGCGAGCAGGCCCTCACACGGCACGGTGGAGAGCAGGTCCTACCACAAGCAAGCCTACGATACATGTGCAAAGAAGCTTCATGTCACTTTACCATCCTCTGATGCTTTTCCCTATGGCAGATTTCTTCATCAATTTAATTTTTGCAAGGGTAAGGTGAGTTTTGAGCCAAAGAACTTAAAGAAGTTACAGCTGTTTAGTCTAATACGAAGGCATTTTCATAATATGTTTTATAGCCTAAAGCATAAATGGTAAAAGTAAAGTAACTTGTAAAGCATGTAAGGCCAAGCACTTTGTTCCTAGGAAACACACTTTTAACTAGTAATATTTTGGAGATTTGTTCCTTTTTCAGTAGCACTGAAGAGTACTGCTGAAGTCAAACAAGTAAAAATTTAACGCTACAGCTACAGAGCAGAACTCTTTAAAAGAGGACTCATTAAGAAAAAAACTCTCTATTTCATGCATTTGCTCTCCATGTATTTTGTAAAGGTGCATTATTTGCTGTTTTGTTTCAAACCTAACATAGTTGCTTTAAAATAAAATATTTTGGCACTAGAACAAATAATCTAAAGAGTTTATGTTTCTTCATAACAAAGTAGAAAAAACTTGGCTTTTGTGCATATTTCAGTTTTAAATGAGGAAGAAATTCATGCTACCTAACACGACCGATTTCTATGATTCGGTGACTTCTCTGAGTAAGGCCTCTACCTGCTCTGGATGACAGACTTTCTGCAATCCAGCATAGCAATCTCATCCCGCAAGTTCTCAATCTTCTGCTCGTACTCATCCAGTTGCTGTAATCTCTTTAAGCTGCATGGTTCAGCACGGGAACACTTCAGACTTAATCACACAAAACAGTCAGTCTCAAGATGTCCTTCTATCAATGTAAACTATCTATCAATTAATCCTCATCATCAAACAAAAGGAGCAGAAAAAATAGGAAAATTATTGAGCAAGCTCCTTATGTTTGCTGAATAATTTCAGCATGCTTTCCTTATGCTGAAATACAGGAAAAATCCAGAGTTTGAAAACAAATGAAACAAAGCAGACCCTTGATCTTACTTTAAATTGTATAAGTGTATTGTGTCAGGGAAGTAGATATAGCACTGTGTGCTATAGGAAAAATCACTGGTTAACATTTAGCATCCTTATGCTAGCTTAGATGATCAGGTCTAAAAGAAAATAATTTCTTTCTCATATTTAAGATGTTAACTAAACCATCTCAGTTTTCTTTCCCATGGATTAAGAACCTATGTATTGTCTTCTATCAGGTTCTTGGGCTCTTTTCTTTGCTGAAATATATTAGTCAGTCAAAAGATATCTCAGATGTTATTCAAATAATACCAAAAGCTAACAATTCCTCTCCTGCTGTCCCCAAAAGAAGGAATGATTCTTAAAGATTGGCCGACAACCACTGAAGCAAATTTATCTTCTGTCCTTTACTCTTAGTTAATATTAAAAACTACCCCAACATCTCTGCTTTCCCTCCAAACACCAGTGTTACTGTTGTGTCTTACCAAAAGCGGAAGGAAAAAAGAAAATATGCTTTCTATTTATTTTGGTGTTCACTCTGTCCTTCCTTTTCTTTACTGCAGGACCCTGGTGAGATTTTTTTGAGGATCTGAATCAATAAAAGCTCTAACACTTATCAATTGACAGGATTCTTGTTCCACCTTTTTAAGGAACAAGCTGACTGAGATGACCACAGGTAATAAGGCCAGCAACATCTGCTAAGAGGAAAGACTGCCCAGTTCCATCCTAAGTCAGCTCCTTCAGGAAGGACTTCTAGCAGAACAGTAGTAAAAGAGGGCAAAAAAATTCTACTATAAGGGACAACTGGGAAAGAAAAGCAGATTTGGGAAGATGAGCTCTAGAAATAGGCATGGGGAAAATCCAAACCCGACATTCTTGGACTCACTTAGTAAGGGCATAAAATTATATGACTTCAGGTACTGACCCAAGACTTGTGGAACGTTCATTGTTCTCATGGTAATAGGATGCATGAGAATGTGTCTGCCACTTTGTGCTACCTACCTCTTAAATGGCCATGGAACTGGTAATAACTGCACAAACTTGTATCTGAAGCAACTTAGTAATTTTTATATTATAATGCTCCATAAAATATGTTTTATGTAACTAGTCAAAAACTCTTCAGGCCTAGTCACTTATCTGGAAATACAACTCTCTTCCTCCGTCTTATGTCAGTGACTTTTATCTTCTCGGGTATTTACGTATCAATTACATTGTCTAATTAATTGTGACATGTTGTAGGTCCTTCAATAAATCTTACACTGTAGCTACTCAATTTTTTGTTTAGGGTTTGCTCAGCATGCAACATCTCATAGACTATATCTCCACAAGGGATTGTCATGGACTATACAAAACTTTTTTATGTAGAATACTGGCTTGTTTTTCAACACCTCTGCCAAAAGCAAAACCTACCAAGTCAATTTATTAATGTGGGTGTGACTGTATCATTTGTACACCACTTTGGATGTATACACATGATATAGAGCTCAGATGCATTTTGCAACTCTGCTTTTAGGCCAGAAATAAAATATTTTACAAATCTCCATCAATATTTAGACATCAAAGGAAAAACACCAAAAAGCAAACAGAAAGAACTGCAGTTTATCTCCCTACTCTCGTTCCATCTGGTTGATCTGCGCACGGGTTTCACTTAGTTTGTCCTCCAGGTCTTGAAATTCACATTTTGGTTTGCAGGCCAAATCTCTCAGCTGTAGTTCTCCTTCAGTTGAATCCTACCAGGAAATTAAGTCACATTGCTTGAATGTTCTACCTTATAGATTTCTTCAGTAAAGTACTAGAGCATAATGGCAGATATATTTCTAAATATTTCAGTAACAACCATTCCTAAAGAAACTGAGAACAAAAGCTATTGCATTCTCTCTGAGACATAAGCAATACCTTTCAGGCACATCAAAGAAAGACTCAATTACAGAAAGTAAAATATTCACTTATTTTATACCTCATGGTAGAAATATGGAAGATCAGCATATGCAGATTTAGTGCCTGAATCATCAGAACAAAGCATTTTGCAGATGTGTTGCATAGTTGGTTTTTTTCAGTTAGTCAACTTCTGATTGACTAAATCACCAACTCAAGTAAATTTTTTGGGAATTCATGTATACAAAACAACAGAAAAAGTTATTAGAACACAGAAGGCAAGTATTGTTCCAGAAAGCACACTACTATACATGCAGCTGCCTTTAACAACCCATAGAACAGCCAGCTACTACTGGAATTAAAGTAGTAACTGTGCAACAGGGTTTTCTTTAAATTTTGAATTACAAATCTGTAACTGGTATTCCTGGTGTACTGTCATTCAATAACTTTGTTGTTTTGTATTTTGTGGGGGTTTCGGCACACCACCACTCCTGCTTCATACTAGACTCTGACTCTTAAGGGATATCCCTTTTTATTTGTCCTATTTTAATTGTGAAATATTTTGACAGAGCAGGTGTAAAAAGGAGAAACCAAAGAACATGGAGACATCACTGTCAAATTTCAGGATCTTGAAGATCTTCTCCTAGCCTGAATTAGCCAACTCTCTTATTTTCTTTCAAACCAGAAAAGATCTGTCTTTTCTGTTAGTATCAAACTGTTAGTATTACAACACCCTCAGTAAATACCAAATACATATGAACTCCAAATATCATGGCAGGAGCATGGTGGTATCATGACACACATGAACACTTCTTTTTTTTAACTCTCTAGGAAATCATATAATGTTAAGATATCCTTAGAGTTTTTTTCCTTAAAAAAAAAAATAGGAAAAGGAGCTCACATATTAATGCATGGAGTTTATGCACACCTTCAGCTTACACATGTATTTTCACAGTGTTATTTTTTCTAAAAGAGATACGGCATAAATACTGTTATTATGTCTCTACAAATGTAAATGGCAAATCTGTACCTAGAAAAGGAAAGCAGTATAACAACACAGACTTCTCATACAAAGCAAATTCCTCCATAATAGCATGGTTGTCTCCATAGGTGTCTCCACAACTAAGGACATATTTAATTAAGTAAAATCTGAGGGAGGCTAATATTCACAGAAAGTCATTAAAATGCTTCCGCAGGTATAAATTCACATAGTTCTAGTCCCTTAAAATAAGTTTCTTACATACCTGAGTAAGGTTGTCACTTCCTGAAGCATAGCATACACTTGGCAGGAGACAGCTTTTTAATTTTGCTGCACATTCATCTAAGAAAACACATTAAGAAATGGTGAGAATACTTACAGAAAAAGCTAGAGTTGGAAAAAATGGCACGTGAAATATGTTAGTAATTACACAAGGCACCAATTTACCTCCTTGAGATGTTTCATTGAGAATTGAGAAGAGCTGCTTTTGAATTGCACTGTTCAGTTCTAATATTTCACAGCATCGGCTCAGATTTTCATCAGCAGAATTCCCCTGTAAATTAATGCGCATTATTACATCTGTGTGGGCTTTCTTACTTAGTTATTCCTGTTACAATCATGGCATGTACTCCCCCATAATTACATCTTCCCAACCTTTTCTTACTGGATCCATTAGAATACTCATTTTTGAATACTCATTTCTAATAAGCAAATGAGCAAAACATCAGGACTTCTATGACTCAGTTCATTCACTACTTGAGAAAGTGTACTCCTTTTCCATCATAAAGAGTATGCAACTACAAGTTGAAGTTGAGTTAAAATCTTTTAAAATAATAATCTAGTAGATTGTTGGATTTTTAAAAATAGCCAAAAATCTGGTTTTCCATATTAGCTGAAATAATGCATATAAGGTTCTTATCTTGCTTTGTCAGCAGTCACATGAAGCCTCCATGCAATTTCACCTGATTTATAAGAGTTACAAACTGAAACATATACTACTGAAGGAGCAAAACCCAGCGTTATGCCTAGGAAACAGCAAAACTACATCACTTTCAGTAAATGCAATTTTGAAAAGGAGCTGATGGGGTTAATCTGTTCAGGATACTACTGCACCTGCCAGAAGAATACACACTTTGTACCTGCTTTCCTTATCTTTACCCATAACTTGTGTATCACTTTCCACATAGATCACCCTCTAGGTCTTCAGGTTTTAATGACTCTATGGTTTTTACATTTTAATGACTCCATATGGTTTTTACAAGCTTCCAAAATAGCTGAAATTCCCACCCATGCCCCCATCAGCTTGTCTTTTGATTGCTGCAACATGCTTTCCTCAGGCCTTGGGGGAGCGCAGTAAACCTGCCCACTTCCACAAGAACACGGCTGCAAAATGTATTTTTCCAGTTCCATTTTTACAGCAACATAGCAGCTCCTCTTTTTCTGCATCAGTAGCCTGAAACTGTTCATTTCTCAAGACCGTAAAGACTATTCCTAACCAACTTATGATGGAGAGGTCAGCTCCCACTGCTGCTCAGCCCTCCTAAGGTCTACCTCCAACAACCATTTGCGAGACTTTGAAATGCATGACACTGTTCCTCCTCTGGCCTCCTCTGTGGTAGCTTTACCAGCTATTCCCAAACTCCTTAAAACTGCCCTTTGCCACCTTGCAGAGAGTTACACCGGCTATGTAACTGTAACTCCTATTCAACCATGAAGTAAAAGAAAAAAACTGATTTCCCCTGAAAAGACTGCCTCTCTTTTCTCACCAACCACAGCACACGCAGTAGGTGGTTACCGACTCGTCGTGACCAACTATCTGCATCCTGAGGGCACAGAAACTTGGGGATGCGGGACAGAAAACTGTCAAGATTTTTTTCCACTGAGCAAAGTCACAGCTGCGAAGTCTCATCTTTCCCTAATTTTACACCTTCTCTGCTGCTTCGCTGTTTCACCCCCTCAGTTTCCCGTTACCCCTTCACGGATCCCGCTTCAGCCACCGGCAGCCTCCTGCTCGTAACGGACACTCCTCCCCCCGCCCCCCGTTCTGAAGCCGATTGGCGGCCGTGCTGCATGCTGCCTTCCCTCAGCCTTTCACTCGAACAGGTTTCCCCATCCAGAAGAGATGGGATGCTGGAAAAACCCCTTCTCACTTTCAGCAGCCCTTCTCCTCACGCTCTCCTGACCGTTCCTGCGCCCCAACCGTTCCTTCTGAGCACAAGCCCAACCGTGCTCCTTCCACCTGCCGTTTTCAACGTTCCTTCTCGCCTAAGCACAGCCGGTAGCGATCAAATCTCACTTTTAACCTCCAACCCTTGTTTTCAGGGAACCTTGTCACGGACAAAAAGCTAAAAACCGAGGCTGTGGGAGCTCAACAGGTGTTAAAACTCCGCTAACTGGACGCCCGTGCCGGGCAGCGTCCCAGATCGGCGTGTGGAACGCCGAGCGAGTGCCGCTGCCTCTGGCCCCGGACAGTGGCAGGACTCACCTCGTAGTTCTGCTGCCAGCTCTCCAGCTTCTCCTGCAGCTCCCGGGCTCTTCCCGCGCCCACCAGGTTCTTTAAGTCTTTGGCCATGGCTAGATGTCAGCTCGCTCTGCTGTCCCTCCGGGAGTATTCTTCGGGCGGCGCAGGTGTAATGGAGATGGTAATGCCAGCCCGGCCCCCTTCCCTGGGCTTGGCCGCGTCCGAGGGCCTCTGCAGCCGCGGTGGTGTCGCAACGGCTGGCGCGGCGGTGCCGGTGCCACGGTAATGAGGGGGCAGCGAGCCGCCTCGCGGGGCGCGTGGATGGCTCGCGGCCGCCGGGTGACGCTGCCGGGTAACGCCGGCGGCGCGA